AGAGAGAGAGAGAGAGAGAGAAAGAGAGTGTGTGTGCGGGTAAATGTGTGAGTGTGTGTGTGAGAGGGAGATAGATGGATAGAGAGGGAGAGAGGAGAAAGAGAGAGAGAGAGAGAGAAAGAGAGAGAGAGAGTGTGTGTGTGTGCGTGTGTGTGTACGCGTGTGTGTGTATGTGTGTTTGTATGTGTATATGTGTGCGTGTATTTGCGTGGGAGTAGCGAGTTAGAGAAGGGGCGAGAAGGTCCAGACCAGGCTCCTTGCTATAATTCAAAATATCGTATTCATCTATTCCCCAAAAACTGAGAGACTCTTTTTCATTAGCGTAAATAATTGACATACCCTCTCTAATTTGCGTGAGGTTGCATGAAAGAGGAAGCATTCTTCCTTTCATGAAGGAAAAAAGACGAATTTTACGAAGTTGTGTAGGTTTAAAGCACATTGCAACACAGTAAGTTTAATTAATTAAGAGACGGGACATTCTATTTGACCGACCATCGCTGTTAGGACCGAAATGAAATGTTAATCGGTACAAGTTTAACTCCCCTTCAAACACCATTAGGTTACTCAAGAGGTGGGAACCTTTGAAGGGACGTCCATCTCCGATAGGACTGAGTTAAATGGGAAAATTTGCGCAATGTGCTTTTCCCAAGGACACGGCATTAGACAGAGCTGAGCCTCGCACCTAACAGCTCACAACGGGGTCCGGTATTTTAAGCACTAGACTACCAGCGTCACGAAGAAAAAAAACGCCATAATATTCTGACAGTCGTCCTTATGGCTGGAGGAAGCTACAGTCTACATCACACAAGATCTGAGTGGACCCCTTGAGACAAAAGAAACGGTTTTGTGTGAGTACAGAACAACTAGCTGACACGAGGCTATTGGGGAAGGGGGAAAAATGGCACACGGATAGAAAGAAGTAGAGAAACAAGAAAACGAAAGAAAAGAAGTAAAAAGTGACTAGCGTCACCTCCAACCATACTCTGGAGTCATTTAATGAAGAGGAAACAATGTTTGTCGAGTTAACGTAAGGTTTTGATGTTCTCGTTCTTCTGCATGTGCAAATGTAGTATCAAAATCAGTTTCTCATGGAGTTATGTATAGTTGTTTTTACTTGTAAAAAGTGGGTGTTTTTTACACATCCATCAACTCAATGTAAATCAATTAGGAAGCAGGCTTCTGACCCTCATGTGAGAACCAACCTAGACTGAAAATGATACATCCTAACAGAAAGACAAAAATACTGGAGTTGTTTTGTGTTTTACGGCGCTCGCAACTGCATAAGGTCATATGAGCGTGCAGGATACACCTAATACTTTTTAGTTTGTAGGAAATTTTGAATTCTGCCCGGGTGGCGGCCGAAGCCTACTCTTATCGATTTTAGACCACCAAGGGATCTTTAACGTGTGCAACTTGCACACTGGCGCTCCGAGATTTTTCGCCCTTGTCCGAGAAGGCTTTCCTACCAGAAGATCAGGGGTGTGGCAGAAAGACAGCTGTAAGAAGGAGCCAAGGAGTATCAGTAGAAAAGGCTGCAGAAAGAGTCAGGAGCCCAGAGGAGGGGGAAAAGGAGGTAAAGGGGTGGGGGTAGAAAGAGGAGACGAAAGCAGACGACAGAATATTGCTAGAGAGCAGGAAAGGAGGTGAAAGGAGACAATTTTAGAGAAAATTTTTTTCGGTCGCTACCCAGATTCGAACTCGGGACCTTTGAATGAGAGACCAACACCTTAACCACTAGACCACGAGAGCCCCCTAGAGATACTGGATGAAGATTTTCTCTTCAATCGGGAATCGAACTCAGGTCTCTTACGTCCAATAGCGAAGACACTAACTGCTACACAACAGAGCTGTTATTATTACTTCTTTCTAAATCAAATGATCAACTAGTGGCACCACCTACCGCCCTCTGGAGCGATTTAAAGAAGAGCATAAAACAAAACCAAAAAAGCAGAACAATTGAAAGATTAAGTTTCACGAACCTGTTGCCAAACTGGAAGTCCCAAACGACGTCTTCGCACAGGCTAGCACCGCACCAGTCCACGAGTTGTGTCGTGTCTACAATGCTACGCTTTCTCTACCAGTCAGGGGAGAGAAGCACACAACCCTTCGCAAATCGAACTTGTCCGGCCGGTGTAACTTGCCTGTTGTGCGGGGACGGTGGCAGCCAGCTGATGGGAGGAGGTGAAATACTGTCCGGTCCACACAGTCCCGTCGGCGAGTCACGTGTTGTGCTAGTAGAAGGGATCCGACTCCTAACTGAGGGAGGCTCTTGTATTATATATAGAAGAAGGCTCTCATCCCGTACACAAGTGCCAGGAATCTACTCCAGCCCAGGAATATAATATCCCCTCCCACCCCCACTCCACAGACGCCCCGATATTCAGGGATGATCCAGAAATAACCTTCTCTTCTCAAGGATTAAAAAAAAAAGTAGAGCAGTTGCCGCCCCCGCCCTATCTCACCCCTGCCCCAATACGCCTCCACCCCCTGCCCTAGTTCCCCCTTCCCAGATATTCCAGAAATAACGCGTTCTCTTATAATTGTCGTTGTAATGTTCTACCCTGTCATCGATACTATGATACTCAGATCGTTTCAGAGGCGGGCTGTCCATTGTCAGAGCATACTCGAGTTGAGTAGCTAGCCCCAGCTGAACAAACCCCCCCCCCCAAAAAAAAACCAAGAGATAAAAAACAACAACCAACAAACTCGGAGATACTGGATAACATACCTTCCCCATGCGGACAGCGGAACATTGCGCAGGTTTTTAATCATTTAGTCTAAAAGTACAAAGGAGTTTACCAAAACCTGTTGGGAAATTGTGCACGGATTTTCGGTATCGAGTATTTTTTAGGTTCGGAGTTCGATTTTGGACCGACTTGAAATTCTATAAATAACCAATTATCAAGACTGTTATTTCATTTCACTGTTCATATATTTTTTCGTCCTTTATTTGTCATGAAAACCTCCATTTTGATTTTTTTTCTGAGAGCGACTAAATTGCATTGGGCATACACACCTATTTGTAAGGGGGTTCTTGTGGCCTAGAGGTTAAGGTGTTGGCCTCTTATTCAAAGGTTTCGGGTTCGAATCCGGGTACAGACCGAAAAGCTTTCTTCTCTAAAATTGTCTCCTTTCACCTCCTTTCCTGTCCTCAAGCAATGTTCTGTCGTCTAGTAGTAGTAGTATAAGGTTTTACGGCGCTCGCAACTGCTAAGGTCATATGAGCGCGCGAAACACAAGTTGTTCACCTCTGCGAAAGTTCACTTCACGACTGGTAACTAATTTACTTTAAAATGCTAAAAAGTTAAAATATTCAAATTCGGTGTAAATACATTTGTGATCATACACACACCCCCCACACACACCCATACACACACACACACACA